GACAGAGAAAAGGAAGGTAAGCAAGAAACCATAGAATTGACGATGGAGGAAAGGAGAGAAGTGGCAGCCCGAACACATGGAGAAAAGCATGGGCGTCTCAGAGGGAAAACAGGTAAGAATGGACCCAGGAGAAGGGAGAATGAGGGAGGGCGGGAAGGAGGGAGAAAGAAGGAAATAGAAAGTGCCAGGGCCAAAAACAGAGAGGGATGAAAACCAAAGGGAAGTAGCAAAGAAGAGAGGGAAGAGGATTTCTGGGTGAAACAATTAAAGCACCATACCATTTGCTACATTTATGAAGCACATGAAACCCTGAGTGGATCATCTGCCTAATGTAGGGACAGAGTGAAACTAAGAACAAGGTACTGTTTATTCCTTTCACCTCCAAAATGAATTGGAAGTCGTTTATGATCAAAAGATACAGTCAAATCATTCAAACAGGATAAAGGACAGCAAAGGAGGCAAGGATCACACCAGACAATGCTCAGGGAAAATGCTGTACACAAACTTTTTCTCAGACCTGAGCCCTAAAAGTAACACACCACATTCTCTCCCTCTTTCTCTCTTCCCCAGGTTCCATTCTTCTCTTTCTGGCCTGCATTCCCTCTGACACCTCCTCCATTCTTTTCTCTACCAGTTCTGGCTGCCCCCACGCAGAGTGTGCTTTCAGAACAAAGCCCCAGCAGAGACCAGCATAGACTAAGGTCAGATGGAGAAGCCCTGGGATCTTCTGCCTTGCAAGGTACCACACTTACCATTTTCTGTCACATAATAAGCCAGTGCATTCCTGTCCTGCTTAAACAAACTTAAGTTGGGTTTCTTTTTCTTGGAACCAATACAATATAAAGTATTTTAAACCTCTAGACTATCACTCTAGTTTAGCTGTTCTTTTGAAAGTTATTTGCAGCAAATGATTCAAATTTGAGATCTGGGAGGATGAACTCCCTGTATTTTGTATTGTTGAGTAAAAGGAGATCCCTGAGCATTAGATACCTGCTTGGGTTGAGAAACTGTACAGATAATCAAAGAACCTGATGTGGACTATCACCAGAGAGAGGTCTCTACCTTGGCTGGGAGCTGAATCACAGGTACCCAGAAGACTCTGGATTTCACCAGGTACCAGGGACTGGTGACAGAAGTCTGCACCATGAAGTGTGGTGGAGCTTGAGGCATGAAGAAGGCATTACCACAGCCAGTGATTTTGGTTTGTCATGGAAGGAAGGTTAGGCACTACTTCTGTAGTGATACTGCCTCGGAAACCCAAGGAGGGGTCGCCATGAGTCCCCCCGACTCAACGGCACATAACAACAACAACAACATGGTTGATAAGGGACTGTCTTTCTGACAGCATTTGCCCAACTGGTTCCTCTACTTTTCCAGGCCTGTCCTAGAGCACGACTTGAGTCCAAAGAACCACAGTTTAAAGGACATGCCCGAATCATTTGCTGTGGCAGGAAGGCAATGTATTCTAGCCTAAAAATCATGTGACATTATTCAGGAGTTAAAAGGAAGGTCTTGAGAACAACGCTGATTTATACTTTTTAAGACAAGAATTTACTGATTTAAAGGCAACATCCACCCACTATGATTCTGGTAGAGATACTGTGATAAAGCCTTTTAGGAATGTTGATAGCTCAGAATTGTCATTTGCCCACAGATAGTTCCCATCTACTAAATTAAAGGCAAGATTTATGCATGCAGCAGAGTTTTGAACTATTAGGACAAGGATCTTGCCAAAGCTGGACCTTTTACGTTTGTTATGAAACTCATCCCAACAGCTATGTAGGCCAACTCATGCTCTGAGATATTAATGCTTATTTACCACCACCACCACCCCAAAAATAAACCTGCTGCTATGAGTGGATTACTACTCATAGTGACCCTATAGGATAAGGTTGAGATTCCTCCTAGGGTTTCCAAGGCTGTAAATCTTTATGGAAGAAGGTTACCTCTCTGTGAGTTCTGGGTTCAAAGTGTCAGCTAGCAGCCAAGAGTTTTAACCACTGCCCCAGGAAGACTCCTTATTTACCCAACCAACCAACCAACTCACTTCCAGCAGTGGATTTTGACTCACAGCAACCCCTCCTTGGGTTTCTGAGGGGGTATCACTACAGAAGTAGATTGCCCAACCTTCCTTCTGGGGAGTGGCTGGTAGGTTTGAACCACCAGCCTTCTGGTTAGCAGTCAAATGCCTTAGGCACCACACCACCAAAACTAACTTTATCATCCATCTAAACATTCCATCAAGGGGAAGGAAATCATTTCCAGAACCTCTCAAAAGCTACTGAATGGAGACTTTTACAAAAAGGCATTTTATTGTCAGGTCAGATATTTTATGGTTGGTTTCAAGAAGTTATGTCTCAAGAAGTCAGGCTCTTCTCAGACTCCCCTATAGTGTCTTCAAAACTTAACCAGTTACTGCAAGAGTATATATAGTCCACAGCCCTCTCTTTCAAAACCAATTTGATTGCAGAAGGTGAGGATACTGTTTATTCTTTGTGATCCTCTGAATCCTCAATTCTGAAAACAAACTATTTTTTAAAAATTCTTCTAACTAAAGAATTTCCAAAAAAGCCAGTTTGAGAAGAATCATTTGTGACTTATCCATGGATTTTCTTCTGTGTAAGTTATATGAGGGATCTGGAGTGGGATTTCCTGGTTTCAAATCCTGGCTCCACCTCTTCGTATCTGTGTGATCTTGAGTAAGTCACATAACCTCTCTGAACACGTTTCCGTATCTATAAATACGGCAATAAAAAGCATGAGGTTTGCATTGCCCACAAAGCGAAAAGCACCGGGTTGCCCTGTGGTAACAAAGCAACTTTTATATTATTTTATGTATTTACATTTGATGATCTCAGAGGTCCAGAGGTAAAAGTTCTACATGGTTCCCTACTCTACATTCTCCCCACTCCCACCTCCTGGGTTTAGCCTTTCCTCAGCCTTGGAAAGGAGAAAACCTTGTTCTGCCCAGTGTCTTGTGCCAGCCGGTAGGGAAAGGGAACTGCAGGTTTGGGAAGCCTCCGCGCCCAGCTTCACCTTTGAAGAAAACATGCTCATCGCCAGCGCACCCCCGCCCTACAAGGGGACATATCCTGGATGCGCAAACGACCCCCCCTCCCCCGACCCCGCTTGTGGGTCGTGGACCGCGCGTCTGCGTCCCTGAACTGTCAGACCAGGCAGACTACAGCCATGCGTGCGCCGCAGAGTGCAGCGCGGCCCTCAGCCGGTCTTTGGTCGCCGCCCCTGCCACCGCCTCTGCGTGACAGGTGCTGTGAGAAGTGCAGCAGGGGCGGCCGCGAGGAGCGCCAAGTGATCTAACCGGAGTAGGCTTTCCAGAAGCCGCGCACGCAAGGCACAGCTCCGCACGCAAGGGGGAGGAGACTGCAGAGAAAACTTTTCAACCCGATAAAGTTTACAGGCGCGGAGATTTGCTCCGCCCCGCCTTCCCCAAGGTCTCTAGCTCCGGGAATCCTCGGAGCGCCCTCCCAGCCACTTTCGCCCCAGCTCAGATCCAGGACCTGCGCCAACGGCCTCTGGACTCAGCCGCGGCAGTCGCGCGCGGGCAGTGGGCGGCGCCACCTGGAGTAGTTTCTCCAGCAGCGCCCCCCCGAGAGCTAGTGTTTGTGAGCTTAGGACCGTCGGGGCCCTAAAGAGGGGGAGCAGAGTCTTTAGGGGATGTCGCTGCACGCGGTGCAAGAACTCTGGGCCAGTTTGTTTGAGAGAACATTAATAATAATAAAATACCGAGGCAAACAGCCACCACCGGCGAGCTTTCCTAATTTGCAAACTGTCAGGTTTCCTTTCCTGGGTTGGACGCCCAAGGATCCAGAGCGGTTTTTTTTCCAAAGAACTAAGCTCAAATTCCTGAAAAAGAAGGGAGGTCCAGCAAAAAAGCAGCTCCGGGTGTAGAGCGCGCTCCCACGGTGAGCGCTTCTGAATGGACAGGTTTTGTCCCGTGAAGCCTCAGTTGGGGATGACCAGGGCTAAGAGCGGCTTTCCGGCAAAAGAAAAACTCTCACCGACGCTTCTGGTGAAGCCGTCAGCTACTGTTGAAAGCCCATGGGAGAGCACCGCCACCGCCTCGCGTGACTATCGGCGCGCGTGGACCAAGTCCTGGTGGGTGCGAGGGGGAAGGTCCTGCCCCCCTTCCCGCAAACTCCGCCTCCGCCAGGTCCCACTTCCTCCTCCTCCTGCACAGTCCTTAAAACCCAGAGAAGTGGGATGGCGCATTTGGACACTCTGGAGTGACTATGCAAACGGGCCACATCTTTGCGATGTCAGCTATGAGAGTCGCACGGGGGCCATGGGCTGGGAATTGACTCCACTCATCGACCTTTCAGTCTCAATCCCAAAGCTGTGAGAAAATCCTGAGTTTGCCAGGGCCCCAGGTGCAGCCGGTCGGCAAAGGAGGCAGTTTTTCTATCCACACCCCAACCCGTGTGTACCTGGCTCTGACTACGCCAAGGGGGCCGGGAGTGGGTGCTTAAAATATCTAGAGCTGGCAGCAGGTGTCTAGGGCGCCTCCGAGTTCCCGGAGACCCTCAGGCTGACTTCTAGTCCTCCGCAAAGGCCCCACAGGAAACCTCGCCTTCCTGCAGGTCAGTCTGTCCGCGGATTCACCTTCCGCGTCCTCTTCTTTGCAGGTCGGGGGTGGGATGGGGCGCAGAGGCCATGAAGATAGGCACTTTAGAGGGAACTCAGCGCCACCGCCTCGATGCCCGCGGTGTTGTCTGTCTCGAAATTGCAGAAACCGTTATGCGGCTACAGGTGGGGGAACTGACTCACAGAGAGGCAGAACATCCCTTCCCTTCTCCATTGGTGAATGGGTTGGGGATGCGCAAGGACAGCTTCAGCCACGTCCCCAGAGATCCAACCTTGACACGACCTCCTTTTTTCTATCCAATGGCGTGCGGTAGCCTCGAGGCTGGGCTAGGGCAATGGGACGCCCGTTTTTTTCTCTGTACACCTGAATGTCACGTCTTCGTCCTTCTGTCCCCAGCATGGCCACCAGCCTCAGTCCAGACGATCTCCGGCCGCCGAGCTCTCTGTCCACCCAGCAGACCACGTTGTTGCTATTCCTTTCCGTGCTGGTAGCCGTGCACGTGGGCCAGTGGTTGCTGAGGCAGCGACGGCGGCAGTCCGCTTCCGCGCCCCCAGGGCCCTTTCCATGGCCACTGATTGGAAACGTGGCAACAATGGGTCCCGCGCCACACCTTTCCTTCGCACGCCTGGCGCAGCGCTACGGCGATGTCTTCCAGATCCACCTGGGAAACTGCCCTATTGTGGTGCTGAACGGCGAGCGCGCCATCCACCAGGCCCTGGTGCAGCAGGGCGCCGCCTTCGCCGACCGGCCGCCCTTCGCCTCCTTCCGCGTGGTGTCGAATGGCCGCAGCCTGGCCTTCGGTAAGTACTCGGAGAACTGGAAGGCGCAGCGGCGCGCGGCTTACAGCACGGTGCGCGCCTTCTCCACGCGCCAGGCACGCAGCCGCCGTGTCCTCGAGGGCCATGTGTTGAGCGAGGCGCGCGAGCTGGTGGCGCTGCTGGTTCGCGGCAGTGCGGACGGCACTTTTATCGATCCGAGGCCGCTGACCGTGGTGGCTGTGGCCAACGTCATGAGCGCAGTGTGCTTCGGCTGCCGCTACAGCCACGACGACGCCGAGTTCCGCGGGCTGCTCAGCCACAACGAGGAGTTCGGGCGCACGGTGGGTGCCGGCAGCCTGGTGGACGTGTTGCCCTGGTTGCAGCTCTTCCCAAACCCGGTACGCACAGCTTTCCGCCAGTTCGAAGAGCTCAACCGCAACTTCAGTAACTTCGTGCTCGATAAGTTCCTGAGGCACCGGGAAAGTTTTCGGCCAGGGACTGTCCCACGTGATATGATGGACGCTTTCATCCTCTTGGCAGGAAAGGCGCCCAACGGCTCAAGCGACAGCGGCGCGAGGCTGGATGTGGAGTTCGTGCCAGCCGCTGTCACCGACATCTTTGGCGCCAGCCAGGACACCCTCTCCACCGCGCTGCAATGGCTGCTCGTCCTCTTCACCAGGTATAGCCTCCAGGACGCGTGGGGCGGGCCTCCTCTATACTTGGGCGAATGAGACTGGAACACACTGAGGTCGCAACCAACGCACTGCGTTAGGTGCTTCAATCTAGGTCCCTACCCCTCAGATAGCACTCCGAAAGGGAAGGCGGGGAAGGCACAGAGCGAGCAGAGACACGCACTCACAACCCCCGTCCTGGAGCCTCCCGACCTCCTGGCATCCAGATCTTGTCTCTCCCCTCCCCACATTGGAGACCAATTTGCGAGAAAAACAGCCTTATAAAAATAAAATACACAAAGTACCAGGAGATCAGACCTGTCCTCTCCCTCCCTGGCGCAGGAAAAGCAAAGTTGGAATGATTCCGCAAAGAAAGGGTAATGCAGTAAATAGGTTAAAAAAACACCGCAGCCTAATCGGCTCGGCGAGTCGTCGGCGCGGATCCGAGGCCGCCCAGCGCTGGCTTTGGAGGTAGGGCTTTGTTTCAGAGGAACAGCACCGCTCAAAGGCCCGCTACCTGGCCCCGCTGACAGCCGGGACGGAAGCTTTAGGACCTGGGCCAGAAACTAGCGGGCCGCGCTGGACTGGGCCAGGAGCAGCCTGCATACTTAGCTATCCCTGTCCTTAGCCTTGGCTAACCCGGCCCCAGTGCCTAGGTTGGTGAAAGGCGTCTACCTCTGCGACGTTCGGTGCACACTTGAATTAAACAGGACCCCGGGATAGAATTACTAGATTTAGCAAATAAGTAAATAAATAAATAAATCCTTCAAGGGGCATCCTTCTAAAAGATGAGTCATTTATCTGAAATTTAAATTTAAATTTAAATTTATCTACCCCCCCAATAAACAAACTCACTGCCGTGGAGTCGGTTGTGATTCATAACGACCCTTCCTTGGGTTTCCGAAGCGGAATCACTTACAGAAGTAGATTTGCCCAACCTTAGAGATATCTGGCTCCAGACAAATCTTGATTGCCCTGTGGGCACTTTTTCAGCCCTCAAGGCAATAATTGCTGTTGTGCACCATCGAGTGGATTCCGACTCTTAGCGACCCTGTGTGTCAGAGTACAACTGCCGGGTAGGGTTTCCTAGGATGTAATGTCCACCGTAGCAGATAGCGCGTTTTTTTTTTTTTTTCCTTCCGAGGAAGGACTGGTGGGTTCGAACCTCTTACCTTCAGTAGCTGAGAGCTTAACCATTCTGCTACCAGGGTTCCTGAAGGAAGCATTGGGGGTTCCTACATTTATCATCGTAGTATTTGGAAGGCAGAGATATTTCTGTATCTATCTATCTATCTATCTATCTATCTATCTATCTATCTATCTATCTATCTATCTATATTGTTAAACACTGTACAGCTACTTTCAGAAATTTAATATCTTTTGTACTCTATTGTACTTAAAATCGCTTTTCAGTATTAAGATCATAGAAAAACGTATGGAGGGAAGGAGGGAACAGAAGTCAAATGACATGTACTACTATTGGGCAGCAAAAATAAATAAATAAAGCAATTTTTGGACCACCTTCAATTCCATAGAGCTGAGAAATACTCTTCCTTCTTTTTTGGAAAAGACCTTAAGATTGACGTCAGCAAATTAACTGCGTGCTTTATATACTTTTTATTGAAATACAGCCTTGCACATTTGTTGCTGCATTGTGTATGGCTGCTTTCATTCTACAGCATAAGAATGAGATGAGTAGTTGCTACAGAGAGGCCCACAAAACCTAAAATATTTTACTATCTGGCCCATTATGAAAAACATTTGCAGACCCTGTGATATAATGTGAAAGATTTTTTTTTTAAATCACCCTTAATTCCATCATTACATGTTTCTGTTTTTTTTTTTTCCTTCAAAGTTGCAATAATTAGGTTTTTTTTTTTTTTTTTTTTTTTGCTTCTGATACTTCTTACCGTAGTGGGCCATTCCCAATATTTTAACGTTTATTTTAGTCGTTTTTGATGACTACATAATGTTTTGCCATAGTAAAATATAGTTATATCTAATCACTTCTTGAGCTTTATAGTGTTGGTCTTTGATCCAGAGTGTATATTTTAACAAAGAGCTGTTGTTTTGATTATATGCTTTTTGTACCTACGGAATCATATCCTGAAAGTACATTTTTGTTATAAGTTACTGGGGTTAAAAAAGGACTGGGTGGGTTGTACTTAGGAATCTTGCTTTGTAATGAGACTTTGTTTTCCAAAAGAATGCTGCCAGTTTCTATGGGCAACCATTAATAAGAATTACAGTTTGTACCATAATCTCACCAACATTGGAAATTTTCTTTTCTTTTTTTAAATTGTGGTAAGAATATGCACAACAAAACATTAGCCAATTCCACAATCTCTACGTGTATAATTTAGTGACACTGATTACATTCTTCTTGTTGTGCAACCATTATCGCTTTTAAATTTAGAATTTGCTTTTCAATTTAGAAAATATGTAGTTATTATCTATCGAGAAAACAATTATCTTTGTATAAAGGTGAGATCAGTCTGTCTGCTGGAAATGTTCATCCATTCACTGATTCAGATAAAGAAAATTGGAATTAAAATATACTGTACTTTCTAAAAGAAAGAAGAATTAATTTTTCTTACTTGTTTACTCCCTTTATTAAAAAAACAAACAGGTATCCTGAAGTGCAAGCTCGAGTGCAGGCAGAATTGGATCAAGTTGTGGGCAGAGGTCGACTCCCCTCCATGGACGACCAGCCCAAGCTGCCCTACATCATGGCCTTTATTTATGAAGCCATGCGCTTCTCTAGCTTTGTGCCCGTCACCATACCTCATGCCACCACCACTGATGCCTCTGTCTTGGGTTACCACATCCCCAAGGACACGGTGGTTTTTGTTAACCAGTGGTCGGTGAATCATGACCCAGTGAAGTGGCCTAACCCAGAAGACTTCAATCCAGCCAGATTCTTGGACAAGGACGGTTTCATCAATAAGAATCTGGCCAGCAACGTGATGATTTTTTCAGTGGGCAAACGGCGGTGCATTGGGGAAGAGCTCTCCAAGATGCAGCTGTTTCTCTTTCTCTCCATCCTGGCTCACCAGTGCCATTTCAGGGCCAACCCAGATGAACTCTCCAAAATGGATTTCAGTTACGGCCTGACCATTAAACCCAAGTCATTTAAAATCAATGTCACTCTCAGGGAGTCCATGGAGCTCCTTGATTGTGCTGTCCAAAACTTACAAGGTGAGGAAGATTGCCACTGAGAAGCCAGAGGCAAGCTAAAATCTAAGATGTACACAAATCTTGGAGAATGGGGGTAAACTCTGTTTTTTTTTGTTTGTTTGTTTGTTTGTTTTTTTGTTTTTTCTTCTTACTTTCTAGCTTCTCTGTTCTTTTAACCTCTAAGGTGTGCATAAACCAACTGACCTACAGATGGGGTGTGCTCTACACATGCTTGGAAGGGCTCTTCATGAGCACTGGGCTGTGGAGGAGCTCCTGGAAGACTTTTAGAGTCAAAGAATTAAAGGACTCAGGAATATATACATATATATATGTATATGTATGTATATACTGAATCCTGGTGATAATGATTTCACAAAAGAGCATTCTTTGGAGTTATACAAACACACACATGCTTGCACACACACATACACACACATCCTACCTAATGAAGAGATACTTTATTACCCAAACCTTTTTCAGTGGGACCCAAGATTTATCTTCCATAAACTAAAATTTGCTCCTTAGAAAGCTGATTATGCAAGGTATCAGAATATATTGTCGAATAGCCAAGGGCAAGTAATTTCAGTGTAAGATATGTGATTGAGGTGACAAGGGAAATGATAAAGATCAGAGATTGCCCTTCTCACCTTTTCAATAAAATAGATAGGATATAGAATTTATGGATGGATTTATCTTTTTGCCTACTGATGTGCTTCCTTACTTTTTAGGACAAGCCATAAAGTTGGGTGCTTAAAAGCAAATTAACAGTTGATATACTGATTAAAGTAGTTTTCAGTGACTTACTGTGAATTTCAAAGTGAAGATTGTTGAACAGTAAAATGTTAAGTTGAAGCCATCCTTCTCTTAGTTGCCAAAGTACCATTTTCCAAATAAAAGGAAAAAATATTCCTGCCTAGTAAAGCTTTAAATTATGTGATTGTAATACATTGATTTCAGTAAGTTTCATAGATATAAATTTAAAAAGTCACCAAATAGTATTCAATATACATACATATATTATATAAGTATTCATAAACAGTATGTTAATATCAATTATTTTGTTAGGCAAAGATTCAGTCATCAATGCCTCTTACAATGTCATTGCAAATCAAGAAGTACAACCACTATTTATTTTTTATATCATGGAAACCAAGCTGAAGAAAGGTTTCTTTTCTCAACCGAAACACAGATGAGAATAGACAAATCTAAGAGCTGGATCTGTAAAATGTGTTCCTTATCATTTTACAATATTTAAAAAAACTGTATTTATAGTATAGAATCTCATTTTGAAATACCAAAAATTGATCTAATTAAATATTAAAATTCCAAGCTCTTAGTATGTTTATATTTTAACTTAATTTTAAAGCCATCTGATTATTGAGTAGTATTGAGGTGAGGTTAATGGAAATTGGTCCTTTGCTGTGGAAGGCAGAGAAATTTAACCTGTTCCTGCCTGATCCATAGTGGAGAATACAATGACCTATCTGGGTGTTCTTTCTATTAGGTAATGAGGAAGAAATCTCATTATAACTGACCTAGAAGGGTTTTGGTAGAAGCCAGAGAAAGAAATGTCTATTTTGTTTCTTTCATTTCTTAAACTGACTTTTTTTTTTTTTTTTTTTTTTTAAATAGCAGTTAATGTCTGTTTTTTGGAAAGCTGAAAGATGGTCTTGGGAGGCTGTTTTGTTTGTGTTAGAGTTTAAATGACCAGATCAGTTGTGATGTTCAGAACGGCCAATGTTCTGAACAATCCCTTTGGTGGCTGTGAAAACATAAAGCTTTAACAAAATGTGTATGTTCAGTTTATATAAACAACCTGAAAACTTTTTTAAAAAGTGATGGAAGATTGCAAAAGTACAAAGTGAAATTTGAAATTTTGACTTTCACTGCATGTGACCTTCAAAAAGAAAGTTTTACAGTGTGCTAAAAGCTTATTTATTGCTTGTTACATTTTATTCAATATTTTGAAATCTTTTAATCAAAATTACAAAGGGTGGATTGTATGGTGGTTGCATATGGGGGTGATAAGATATGAGAGAAAATGAAAAGGAGGGAAAATTACTAAACATTTCCCCATTCGTTCCAAATTAATTAATTTGAAGCACAAAATTTAAAGCATAAATATGAAGAAAGAAGATGTTTGATGTGCCAGTGTTAAATTACAAATAGACGTTTTTGTTTTCTTTTTTTAAACTACAGGCAGTCTCCCGATTATGAACCACTTACATTCCCAACCAAATCTGTTTTTAAGTGTAATTTGTACATATATTAGAACAGTTAGGTAGGGTTTGTATCTAACGTCAGTCAAATTCTTGTCTTAGTACCTTTCTATGCATTAAAAAAAAAATTAAAGAAACACTTTAGAGTCAGTAAAGCATCTTTAACATCATAATACAGTAATAATAACAATAGTATTTTGTAGCAAAGTAGTACCCATTTGTTGTTATGAACCATTGCATGTACCTAAAATTTTTAATATAATAGCCTTTGTGGGGGTTGGTTTGTAACTACCAGGTTATACATAAGTCAGAGGATGGTAACCCAGGGGCTGCCTGTGCAACATAGGTCCCTGGGTGGTGTAAATGATTTGTGCTAGGCTAGTGATTCAAATATTGGCAGTTTGAACCCACCCAGTGGGGCCTGGAAAGAAAAGGCTTAGTGATCTTCTGTAAAGATTACAGCCAAGAAAACTCTATGATGCAGTTGAACTCTGTAACACATAGACTTGATGGCATAAAACAACATCACATAGCAGATCTATTTTGCAATTTGGAATTTTGTATTAAGGATCATATTTAATTTTTTATCAAATCTTTCATAGCTGTATCTCTTGAATATGAAAAAGTATGTTGGTATTTTTTTTAAAAAAAGCATTTAAGTGAACTCTAGACATCAGGCTTAGCCAATAAATTTTAATTTGGGGAACACTATGGTGGCATAGTGCCTAAGGCATTTGACGGCTAATCAGAAGGCTGGCAGTTCAAACCCACCAGACACTCCTCGGAAGGAAGATTGAGCAATCTATTTCCGTGGAGATACTGCCTTGGAAATCCAAGGAGAGGTCGCTATGAGTCAAATGGACTCCACAGTAGTGAGTTTGGTTTTCTTTCGGGTTTGAGTTATGCCAAAATGTTATATATACCCCAACAGGATGAGACTGGATTTGGGCTGCCTTAGCTTATTGACTCTGGTTTAGAGATATATGGCAACAAAATAATACCAGTCTGGAGAGTTCATTAGGTCAGCTGGGCACAGGTGTGCCATGACCTGCTTTTAGTCATCATCTGGCATTTGTAATGATGAGGAAGCTCTGTGTATATAGAGGAAAGTAAGGTAAATGTTAGGAGGATACCTGATTTATTTAATCTGTTTATAGCTGAGTTAAAGGAAGGAAACCAAAACAAACAACAGAAAAAAACAAAACAGTTTTGGGGCTACAGTAAGCAACTTACTGGCTTCATCAAAAAACCTCATTTTAGTTCTGTCAGAGACAGAATGTAGTCACCACTAGAGTCAGAACATCTATTCCAGGTTATTGCAACAGTTCAAATGTAATTGTTTATGAGATGCCTGATTTATATATTAAAGATTTGACTTTGTAAGAGAATTGCTTTTTTTCCAAAACAAAAGATGCCTCAGGTTGTTTTGTGGGTTGTCTAAAAGCTTTCATGTTCCAGAACTTAGCCTTTACCTGTGAAATGTTATTATAGCTTCATAGTTCTATATTAGATCTATATTAGATCAAATAGTTGCATAGAAAATATATTAATTTGTATAATCTTAGCTATGACAACTGTGTGAATAAAAAAGTACACTTTAATAGTTGGTTGCTATAGCTCAAGGATGCTTTGTTATTTAACCTTTTCTTAATTTTGTACATTATCATTTATGCTTTTAATACACACATTGCAACTGCAGTACACAGTTGTAACCGAAACAGATTTTGGAGACACAGCATGGCTTTTATGTTTGATATTCCATCTTAGAAAATTCCATATCTGTAGTTATCTATAATAGGGCACCATGACCAAAATAATAAAAATCACTTTCATAATCTTGTTGTGAAGTTTTATTTTATGTTGTAGCGGTACAGTCTAGTGCATCTATCTACTCACTTCAACTACTCTTTATAAATGATTAAATTAAAGTGCTGCATTGTAAACATTTTATTTGGCCATACTACATGTTAGGTGCTTACTTTTCCTTTTTTTCTTCTTCTTCCCCCCCCATAGGGCTTCAACATCCATTTCCTACCAAATTCCTGAGCTCTATATTTTTGAATTGATAAGAGCAATCCCAAGAGTTAAATTTCAATGACAAGCAACCTAGCAAAATTGAAATTAATTTGCAATTTGGAAAGGTAGAAATTTTAAGACCCTGCATTTCTGCTTCATCTAAAAAATGACTACATGTTCTTTCCTCTCAGCAGCACCCTAATCTGTTTATTTATTTTAAAGGTACATGTGAATTAGTAAGTACAAAACTGTCCAATAGAATAGATGGATGAAAGTATTCTGTAATAACAAACCAAAAACCCAGCTCACTGCCTACTCGTAGGCACGGTTCCTACTCATAGCGCCCCTATTGGGTTTCCAGGGCTGTAAATCTTTGTGGAAGCAGACTGCTTCATCTTTCTTCCATGGAGCAGCTGGTGGTTTCAAACCCCTGACCTTTTGTTCAGCAGCCAAATGCCTTAACCATGGCATCACCAGATCTCCATATTCTGTAATATAATGTGTGGAAATATTTTTCAGCTGATCGTTTGACCTGGTATAGGTCTTAATGTCACAGGACTGGATTATTTTCCAGGCCTTCACTGCCCCACCCTCACAGATGTCAGGGCTCTGCTGTGCCAAAGCCCTTTATTTATTTGCTTTTTTTCAGCCCACAGCTCCTGTTGCTGTGAAAACAGGAAAAAGAATCGTGAAGTAAAAACTGTATGTTTCAACCACCACCATTCAATGGAGCCTTGCATTTTGCTATGATTCTTAGTTTGTGAACATCACTTTGGCACCCAAAAGGTATAACTCTGAGAATGTTC